TAGTGATTTTTTGTTGGCTTTGGCTTTTGGTTTCTGTTTATAGTTTCGTCTTAGTTATTTGCAAAATTGTGATGTTTCGCTTTTCTATTTGCTACTGTGTTTTGCAATAATTTTGGTGCTACCTGTGGGTGCTACGTTGATAACTTCGAGAAAAACTTATTGATTCACCATGCATCTGCATCATAAAAAGACAAACGGGTACAACAACTAATTGATAATCAATTTATCACTGGACTAGATTCCGAAATCATTTTTCACATAAGAGAGTAATACACAAAGCAGTGAAGTAATACCACTATCTGTATTTGGAAGGCAAATACATATTTATCATTGAATGAATAGTTAAAAGGATCCACCTTTTAATACAATACCTATATTACATTTGTCCTCGGTTTAAAAGACATTTATAAAATATATTATTTTAGTGTTAATAAAATGTAGTATCCTAGTCTCTACTTCACATTTAAATTATTGATAGGTATTTTAAAGATTTGAGATTGTATACCTATTTGCTGCAAGTAAGTATTTGTTAAATATGTATTATTATTTGTATTTATTTTTATCTAATAATATTTATTTGTTATTAATAAACATATTTTAAGAATGTTCTATTTTATTATTTATTGATATATCTTATATTTATTTAATAATAATATGCAGAACCAACTTTCCACATCAGACCCCTGCTTATAACAAATTAATTCCTCAAATTTGGTATAATCGACCTAAATTATTTTGTAAAATAAAAGTTTCGAACTTACTAGTTCCATACTTTATTTTATAAAATAATTTATGTGGAAATCATTTAAAATTTAATTTAAAACTACTACCTACTCCTAAAAATTACAATTTGAATTTACCGCCATCTGTCAATTGTCATTTTAGTTCCAGCTCCAAACACAAGGTGGCGCTAATTTGGTTTAAAAGTTTAACATTGGCGTGGGGTCTCTTGAAGATACGTGCTTTGTGGTCCCTATAGATCTTTTGATTCGGAGTGTCAAAATATAAAGGAGTAGTTTACGTCGCCGCGCAACTGGATTGTATATTGTCCTGCCAGTTGCCGCGCTTCGACCTCAAGTGCGTTTGATTTGATCATCGGAGATCTCCGAGCGCTGCAAACGTGTTTGAATTGACACACCGAGATATCCCTAAAGTGTTTGTTTGGCTTTGGAGCGAGAACATAGAGCGAGCTCGATGTTCTCAGAGCAGATGGATCGAGAAGAGGGAGAAATTTGTCTTTGTCTCTACCTCTTTTTAACTAACTTACAAACATATTTGAATCTCAAAATTAAAGACTAGACAAGAAGTCAACAAATTACTTAGCCGCTTTTGTCTAGTAGCTAAAATTATTCGTCATAAAAAACACAAAATGTGTGTTTGGAAAATACATTTTCTCTGTCCAGATCTAATCACCAGTAATCACAGGCATGGAATATGAGAGCGAAATGGGCATTTGTGGTATATGCTGCATTTCAGGGCCATTACCCTTTATTATTAAAAGTTTTTCCATTTTCTTTACTTTTTGTGTGCTTTTTGCTCACTATTTTGACACACAAACCAGAAACAAGAATTACAAAAAAGCGAGGTTATGTTTTTTACTCTGTTTTATTTGATTTGATTTAATGCTTTATTGTGACGTCATAACTTCTCGGTCTCCTCGACGCTCGCTCGATCGAGTTTCAAATCAAACGCCCCTAGAGTAGTACAACAGAGAGGACAGTAAATAATGTTTGTGTCGCCTTGATAATATGGTCGAGAATCGCATCAAAGATTCTAATTAGAGAGAAATAGATTAATATCTCTATCTCTATAGTTATTTCTCCAGTTATTTTTAGATAATTATTCAAGTTTTTACTTAAATTCGTTCAAGTATGGTAGTGTTAAGAGAGACTTTGGTTTGTAGGGTTTATTTTATACTAGGAAAAAACTTGTGTTTTATGTGGTTTCAACACATACTTTGATTACTATACGAGGCAAGAAAGAGGTCCGACACGCCCAACATAGGGCGCGGCCATTTTGAATCCTGTGACACAGTTTACAGCTAAAGAATCAGATCGCTCACTCTGCGTCGGCACTTTTGATCTTAATGTTTCAGTTTATACACTGTGCAACTCGGATAATACAATATATGACAACCGCCTATAATAAAACAGCAGTCTTCTGCGTATCCTGAATTTGTAACCCTGTAGTGGATGTTATTTTGGAACTTTCAACTGGTCCGAGTGAGCTAACTGATTCTTTAGCAATAAACTGTGACTTCAAAAATAATATTCACTGACACTGACAGCAGCAAGCAAAATATCAGGGGCCCTATTCTCCAAGTTGAACGATGTGAACATTCCACTGTGAGATGTGAAGTGTCCTATCACCAATTTGTTCTCTCGGTCATCGTATTCGGTATTCTTGAATCATTCACATCTCATAAGTTCACGGAGCACCGCTGCCAAATTTAAGTTGTGCGTTAGAACTATTTTAGAAGGCACTTTACTTCAATTTTTTATTATTTTTTGACAAATTGTAATAACATATTATATTTTCCAGTATTTTCTATTAAATCCCGTGCCAAAGGTTTACTTAGACGAACATTGTTTATGAATATTCGGTCACTAAAGTCAGAAGGGTCCTCTTTTCTTAAAAAAAGTCTATTTGGTCGATTGGCATCTTCTTCTGCTTCAGCTAGATCATTCAAAATATAAATATAAATAAGAGCTTCGTCCAAATCCATTTTATTTAAAAAAGTGACCTTTTGATAGCGCACCACAATGACAGTTCTCCCAATGTTCTCCCGAAATGATGCTCTTCTATTGGTTTTGACTGGTTCTCCCAATTTTCATGCGAAGTGATCGTTCACTTTAATTCAAGAATACCACTCACACACTTTTTAGGAGAACAGCTGTCCAGTTCGCATGAAATGATCATTCTCTCAACTGGAGAATAGGCTCCCGTGCGTTTTAATCATCCGCTTCTGCTTCCTGAATTGTCGGTTTAGTCGTTTTAACCTGTCAGATTAAAATAAGAAAACCGACAATTCCGAAGCAGAAGCGGATGATTGAAACGCACCTATTAAAAATATTGTGCCAAGATGTAGACAACACGTAATAAGGGTTCAAAATGGCGGAGTTTTCTATCTTCCTTTAAAAGGCACTCAGAAAGCTGCGCAGTGCGACCATTCTCCCTATAGTAAAAGAAAATCAAAGTATGTGGGTTTCAAATATAAAAGAAGAAGTGAGGTTACGTTTCACTCGTTAATACTATTTCTTACCGAAGAACATGGGCGTCGTTTTAGGAGAAAAAAGGAAAATAAAATATGAATAATAAAAACAATAAAATTGTTATTATATTTAGTGTTCTAAAATACGAATTAGAGGAAACTTAAGGTTAGAGGCACTTGAATGGACTGAAATATTAGAAGTTGAACGAACATATTACAATTGTTTAAGGCACTTTTTAGAGGACAGCTTTGCTGCAACAAATATATTTATAAGTTGTACGTTTTTAAATAATATCGAATACTTTTTAAAAATTGTATCTTTACTTTTTAGGAACTTTGTATTACACAAAAAAAGCAGGAAAAAGAGAGTAGTAGTGAACCTATGTCACCTAAAAAAAATAGAAGGTATTGTGTTTAATAAATTTGGCGAACCAATAATATTTTTGAATGTCTTTAGTATAGTAATTTATACAGATACTAAATTATATGATTATGGGCCTTCTTTAAGAGTATTAAACTTGCCAACAAATTAAAAGAAGTTATAGTTGGAACAAAAGTACCTCATACACTTCAATATTAAGTTGAAGGTATGACTCTGAAACTCTCATCAACAAAATTTGAGTCACCATTAATTAAGAAGTAAATCAAACATTGGATTTGATCTAAGCTGATACATTAAATTGTATATGAATACTTATTTCAGAAAACCTAGATATTTTGGTAACTTTACATTGAAGTTTCTAGAAAATCGGTAATTGCGAAGACTTTTTTGTTGCCAACAGTACTGCTTCAAACTTACGAAACAGAAATAAAACATTACAGACACAATTAAGATGAGTGAAAAAGTATGTGCATAATCAAAAAATTTGTGCAGACTTGCCGATTTGAAAAGCAAAAAATATGATATTAGTTTTTGGCATATGGTCTAAAATATAAACTATCATCAATAATATAAGAATATTTAAATTTAAATAAAGAAAGTAGATAATTTATATTTTAAACGAAGTCATTAGAAAAGTAAATAAAAATCTTATATATTTTTTTTAATATCCTAAAATGTTTCTGCTTATACTAAATAGGTAAATATATATTGGTTTGTTTTATTCTTATTAGGTATATTTTCTTATGTTTAAATTAAATGCTTTTTGTATTTCTTCAGTTCTACCATTGCATAGGTTTTCAATAGGTATATAGATATTTTATAGAATTCCAAATCCTTGCTGTAATCCTAAATGTTTTAGATGTAATAAAATATTTTTTCATTATTATTATATTTTTTGACAGGACAATATTGTTATATTTTTTTTTAGTTAAATAAAAACGTACCTATCTTTTAAAACTTTATTTTGTATTTTTTTATCTATTTGCAGTTACTATTTTCACATTTAAAATAACCCAATATAATCCGTTTACGTACGCTACTGCTGAAGATTCTAATATGAGCGAGAAAGCCTGCATTAGAAAAAGAAACAATTATTTTATTAGAGCGGCATCAACATTGTATAGATTTATGCAGGGGTAGCCTATCTGTACGTATATTATCTAAGGCTTCGACACTCACTCCTGTAAAACATAACTGTCGCCGTTGACCGCTGTCTGTTATTGTTAAAATTCCTCCTTGAAACAAATAATCATGAATCGAGTTTCAGGTAACTACCTACCAGAAATAAAACATATTTTGTTTATTAATTTATGGCAACATACGCGACGAGCATCACATTACATAGCTCAAAGTCAGTTACCGCCTTTATATCACTAATAAGCAACAAACCTCTTAGGCATTGGCACATGGACCCCAAGTGGGTTAAGCCTAATCTGAAGAATAGCGAGCGCACGCGACTGGCAGCGCCAGCGGGCAGCGTCCTCCAACATCTCCTCGACCGCGTTGCGCGAGGCCGCGCAAAATCAATACCGCGACGCCCCTCGGAGAACGTCGCGGCGCATCGACTCCCGGTCAACGTAGGCCGTGCATGTGCTTTCGACATTCGTGGAATGAAGAGCTGGAGTCAGTGTGTCGCCGCCGCCGAGTTAAACAGACGTCGCCAGCTTCGCCACAGAGTGACCGCTTCCTCGTGGCCGGCCGTGCCGTAACAAGCGATGCTCCGGGACCATGACGCCGCCTCCAACGGTCGAGAACGACTTGGAGGAGATCGGAGAGTGGCTGGAGAAGAACCCGGATGCCTTGGAGAGGTTTGTACCCCAAGTTTAATGCATTTTCAGATGAATGTTTTGTTTTCGAAAGTATTGTTTTTAAGTTTGAGGTCAATATTGGACTTTAAATTTAATAAAACTCTAAAAAAATGGTATGTTAAGTTCTAAATGAACAAATAATATCTAAATGAAAGTAGATTTATTTAGAAATAAAATTAGATATATTTTTCACATAAAAATATAATTTAGGTACATAAATACATAAATACATAAATAAAAAAAAAAAGTATATTATTGATCACTTTTACACAAGTGATGCACAATATTTTTCCTACGACCACCAAATAATTTCATTTAAAAAATGTAAAACCAGGGAATCTGCCTGTGGCTGCTCCTAGATTGGTTTTTCTATGCCTTATTAAATAATTTTTAAAGTGTTTTACAGATAGTGTTTTGTAGAAATTACAAACATTGTGATTTCATATTATTCAAACACTTTCATAAAGTGATACAGGTATCTAAAATAATATTAAGTACCAAAACTATTAGAATATAATAATTTTTTCAATAGTTTATTGTTTTAAATACAACAATTAATAAGATGAACAACTATCAACAAGAACTTTTTAATTAATAAAGATGATTCCTACCTACCTACTTACAATTTTTTCTGAACAGTTATCAAATTGGCACAAAATAAATGACAGACAGATCAGCAAATTGACTAACTGTAAGTTATATTATGATAATTAAAATGTATTAAAAACAAATAAACAACAATACTTGAATTGTTTAATTTTTCATATAAATTAAGAAAATTACTTTTATCGGGGATAGAACCAGCTCCGCGAAAATCAATGTTAATAAAGTTGAACACTTTACGGTCTAAACCATAAAGTCTTATACCAAATAAATTAAATATAATATGTATTAAGGTGATTACAGCACCCCTTATAATTTTCGGAAAAGCATTTCGCAAAAAGTCATTTTTTTTTAAATTAGAATTTTGGCAAAATAAATAAGGCAATAATATCTAGAATATGCATATATTTTAAGTTTAAGTTTCGTTCAATTTCCAAGAAAAAAAATCAGACCGCTTTTAATTTTGAAATATAACAAAAATAAATGCATTCCTCAAAAGCACTAATCTTAATATAATTTCCAAATATAAGCTTCTAATATCTAATAAGTGATGCTTTCTGGTATAACGCGTCTGTAACTCTCGTATCATACAGTTTCAGTCATCATTCGTTTCTTGCAACGATTTACACCAGTTTACACCAAAAGATAGCACTTAACGAGGCGTTTTAGCCACTAATTTTGGCGAATTTTAAGAAATCATTAACCAGATATTAAGAGCTTAAATTTGGGGATTATATTAAGAATAGTGCTGTTGAGGAATGCATTTATTTTCATTACGATATTTCAAAATTTAAAGCCCTTTGATTTTTTTTCTTTGCAAACTGGAACGAATTATATAACTTCATAATATATTGTTATGTGAGCCATTTCATTATTCAGTCATGCTCTAATCCTCCAAGTCTCTCTCTGTCTTATTTGGCATTTGAGGCACAACTTGTCCGATTATCATATATAATTAAACCCCTTGAGACCTAACATATGTGACGACCATGGCGAAGGCACTTTCGCGAACATTCTTGAGTCAACGTGATAATGTTTCTGGTATATTCCGGATATGAGATGTTTTGGTGGAGGAACATTCTGGAATCACCAATTTGTATATAAATATTGGTGGAGGATCAACAAAAAGTTATTAGATATATGGACAGTGAAAATAAATAGTAAACAGTTTAAATACATTCGAAATATAAATAAATTATAATAGTAGTGTTATAAAATAAATAAGTGTTTAAATAAATTATTATTAAATAAACTGTTGTTTAAAATAAACAAACATCATATTGGTGTCAGAAGTGGGATTGTAAATAAATAGTGGACAATCATGGCTAAAAAACTATGTTATTTAAAAGTGTCTGAGCTACGTCGAGAACTAGAATAACGTGAACTGGAGACAACAGGGAAGAAATCAGAGCTAGCAGAACGACTCAAAAAATCACTAGAGAATGAAGGTTTGGATCCGGAAACGTTTCTATTTTCGGATGATGCGTCTGCTATAATTTCTTCAATTTCTTCTGATATGTCTTCTATGAAAACCGATATTTCTTCTAATATTTCCTCATTAGAAAATAAAGTTTCTTCAGTGGTTTCTTCTATAAAAAGTGATATTATTTCTTTAGAAAATAAAGTTTCGTCTGATATTTCTTCTTTAGAAGAAAAGGTGTCTTCTGATATGTCTTCCGTGAAACACGAAATCTCTTCTTTAAAAACAAAGTTTCTTCTGATATATCTTCTTTAAAAGACGAAATTCCGACTTGGAAAACAAAATATCTTCTCTGAAAAATGAAATTTCTGCTAATGTTGAAAATAAGATGACTTCTGTTGAGGAGAAAATAATGTCTTCCATTGAAGAGAAAATAAAAGAGATGGAAAAGAAGATAGAAGAAATGGAACATGTAGACCAAACCAAAAACGGTGAAATAAAGTGCCATAAGGTAGAGTCGAAGTTAAAATTGAAAGGAGCTGTAAACTCTGCTCGTGTTAAAGCCCCAACCTTTGACGGGAAGATGTCATGGACGAACTACCTTCACAATGACAGAATATAAATATCAGTATAGATGTAGGTAAAAAACTTTCAGTGTTTTAGAAAGGTATAAAATACCGAAAACTCTGAGAGTTTTTTACCTGCATCTGTACTAATACATATATATCTATATTATGTCAATGTGAACCCCAATATTTTGGACACAAGCCGCTAACGGTTTAGAATAATTGTTACGGGGTGCTTCACGAATAAATCACAATAATAATTTATTTTTGCAAACACTGAATAACTACAGTTGCGCCACAGGAAAATTATTTCGTTAATTTCTTTTTATACAGGGTGAGCCATCCAGCCAACCACCAAAAAATAATTATGTTTTGAAATTATTAAAAAGACGACTTTGCATTTCTTTAGTGACTTTTAAGTTACTATCATTACATTACGTAGGTATGTAACCATAAGATTTTAAAATATTCAGATAGTAATCTAACTGTTTCTATTATAACGCCCTTTTTAGGAAATGTATTGTATAATATTATGTTGCCAAATTACCATATTGTGTAGTATTTTTTAAAAATATGCTTGCCTGAGATCACAGTAAAATTAGTGAGATTTTGGAAAAACTACCGTCATACATTTGTGAATAACCCTGTAACTAAAAATATTTTTAATTAATAATAATAAATAAACCAATTAAAACTAATTTTCAAAAAAAAAAAATAAAATTACAATCTGAAAAGCATAACAATTGTTGGTGAAAAGGTACAAGATCAGTATGAAACTGTTCTTCCTCTTGAACCTAGGAATAATACTAATATTAATAATAATAAAAAAGAAAAGATAAAAAAAATACAAAGCTAGTATTTGTATGTAAGAAAAAAAAAACGCATTGCAATACAAATATAAAAGTGGAAAAAAAACAATCTCAGTTAAAATAAGGTTACTATTACAATAAAATTAAGTCTTTACCGTGTTTACTAACGTTAGGTAGTGCCATATGTTTAAGTGTCGATGATAATTTATTATATAATTTCACAAGAAAGTAAGAGAACGAATTCTAAAATTTTGCTGTATCATGTTGAGAAATTTCAATATTATATTTAGGCCGGAGATTTACATTATGTGCATCAACTCTGAATAATAAGTTTTCGGATAGATATACTGGTTCTTTATTAATCAAAATATTATGCAAGAGACAGAGATCATGAAGTTTTATTCGATTGTTCATATTTAACCATTTTAGTAAACGAAGTGTATATGATATTCGATCGAAATTCCGAATACTAAAAATTAGTCTTAGGCACGAGTTCTGTAGTTTTTAAACTCTTAATTGATCGCGTTGAGTTAGACATAGTCCATATACATTCACAATGGTTGGCATGACTTAAGACAAGACTATCACATAATTCAGTTTTCAAATCCCTACTTAAAATTACCCTGTTTGCGTAAAGGATTCTCAGTTTTGCGTAAGCCACTTGTAAGATGTGGGACACGTGATTGGTAAAACTCAGATTATTATCCATGATTAAACCCAAATTCCTAAAATTCTCCGAAATAGCAATTTGGTTACCGCCAATTGTAATATTAATATCCTCTATTTGTATAGAACCAGATAGCATAACGGAAGATTTCGAGGAATTTATCATTAAATCATGTTTGTTTGAAAAGTTAACTAGTGAATCCAGATCTTGGTTATTTTTTCTTTCAGCTTGTGCTCTTATACGTATGTACTAAAACATGCAGTAACGTGTGTGTACACAACAGACATTTAATCTTGCTTGTAAGTTTGAAAATAAAAATTTCGAAAAACTAGGCAATTTTCAACTTTAATACCCTGTATATCTAAAACTAGTCATAGGATTAAGTTGAGCCTATTTACACTTTTGGTTACTAGGTTAAGTACAGTAACATACCAAAGTTTCAGAAAATTTGACCGGTCGCTACTTTAGATAAAGAAATACGTTTTAAACTTATATATTATTATAAACTGATAAAATTCATGACATCTTTAAAAATTTATAGACAAAAATAATTGGAAGATCAAAATCAGAAAGGATTACATGATTACAAGAAAAAGAAATTATTTTTTAAACTTTAGCTGAACAAGAATATGTTGTGATTTTTTTCTTTTATGTGTTTTCATATGTTTATTCAATAAAATTATTATCTAATTACCCTAACCCTAATCCCATAAACTCCCCTAATCCCATAACCAGTCTCCGATAACGTCATACTAATAAGAATTGTACAATTTGATTTTGGTCGTCTGGCAACACTGGTGATGAAGCAGTCGACTTACGGTCGAGTAGGAGAGCGTAGGAATGCTCTCATGAGTTCGAGAATAGGATACCTGCATACTCGAGTCAATACGCCTCCTCATAGGCGCCGAATCCTCGGGGCTCTGGGTGCGCAAGCA